AGTTCAAGGAAAGACTTGGGTAGGACTCTGCTTTGTCCTTACTAAGGTTCAGGTAGAATTAGAGAATCATTGATTCCAAACCAACAGTGAGTATAATATAGACGCTGATTCTCTCTGGGTTAAAAAAAAAAAATCACCTTCCTTGGCACTTCTATCCTAATTTCCAGGAAATCCTCAATCACAGACAGACTCAAGTTTTGTTAACACTGAAGGTGTGAAAACAAAATGACTTCGAATTAAATGTTTGTTTACTCAATTAAACACAGTTCCTTATGCTTGAGTTAATCTTTTGTTTCTGTAGTAGCCAGTCAAATGTTTTTGCAGCTCAGTATGCTAGAAAAGACACACATATTTAAAAGAATCAGACAGCTCCGTTGGGTCTAGTCTTCCCTTCATCACATGAACATTTGAAATCATGGTATGAGTATATGGCCTATTAACACAGAATCCATGAAGGACTTGGGTGTTGGTAAATGGGTAGCAAGGTAAAAGTAGTGAAACTTTTAAAACTACAAATTTTTGTTAGAAAAGACACGTTATGGGCCCAGTACAGTAGCCTAGTGGCTAAAGTTCTTGCCTTGCACTTGCTGGGATCCCATATGGGCACCATCTGTATTTTAGCTGCTCCCACTTCCCATCTAGCTCCTTGTTTGTGGCCTGGGAAGGCAGTTGAGGACGGCCCAAAGCCTTGGGACCCTGCACCCCTGTGGGAGACCTGAAGAGGCTCCTGGCTCCTGACTTCCAATCAGCTCAGCTCCAGCCATTGCGGCTACTTGGGGAATGAAGCAGTGAAGGGAAGATATTTCTTTCTGTCTCTCCTTCTCTCTGTATATCTGACTTTCCAATTAAAAAAAATCTTCAATAAAAAATGGACACATGTTCTCACTTAGAAGTTGTCAGCAGAATTCTAATTTTCTTTGGAAGTGATATTGGCAGTCATTGTCCAATGTCATAAAAATATTTATACTCTTTGATCCAATAATTCAAATTCTGGGAGTTTAACCAGAACAAATAATTGAAGGGAAGACATAAGTTGTGTTACAAAGATGTTTCTAATGGCACTGTATATATAAAAATTCATAAAATAACCTCAATGCTAATTTAAGTAGATTATGGCTTTTCGACCCAGTAGAATATTACATAGCTCTGAAAGGCTGCAGACGTGCGCTGCATCAAATGCAAAGGTGTTTATAAAAGAATGCAAAATTCTAGAAGCATCTTGTAGAAAGGCATTTCTGAGTGATGCTCCATGGGAAGGGGAGTGGGGGGTTGCAGGGAAGGGGGGAGCCAATTCTACGGCATTAATGGAGGCAAGAGGAAAAGGTCACATTACTGGGATTATACCATAGATTTTAACAAAATCAATTTAGCAGGATAATTTCAAAGGAACAAGAAACTTCAAATTTGTAGAAACTGTATAGATTTTTATTTTTTATTGGAAAGTCAGATATCCAGAGAGAAAGCTCTTGTGTCTGCTGATTCACTCCCCATGTGGTCGCAACGATCCGAAGCCAGTAGCCAGGAGCTTCTTCTGGGTCTCCCATATGGGTGCAGGGTCCCAGTACTTTGGGCTGTTCTCGAGCTGGATGGGAAGCAGGGCTACTGGAACATGACCCAGCGCATATGGGATCCTGGCATGTGCAATGCAAGGATGTTAGCCACTAGACTACTGTGCTTGGCCTGGAACTTTCTAGATTTTAAAATGGTGTTCCGAGAAGATAAAAACCACGCTTCCAGTGGAGATGATGGATTTAAACCTCACAAGGCACACCAAGAGCTGTGAGCTATCTTTGGAATGTTCTGGATGGAATCCCTTGCAAGCTTAAGGGCACCCAGTGATTCTCAGGGGTTGCTAATAAGCAGTCAGCCACCAGCTGACTCTGTCAGCATCTTGTAGGAGCAGGAAAGTTATTTTTGGAATAAGATTTTATTTTTAAAAATCACAGAAGTCCTGATTTGGCTATTATCCTGAAATATTCCCCAAATGACAGAGTGATCAAAGTTTTCTGAGAACGAGAAGTGAGGAATCCACATTTTTTATGTTTTCTGTGCCCATCTTTGGGTGCACAGAGTTGGTATTTACTTTTTTTAAAAAAGATTTGCTTTATTTTTATTGGAAAGGCAGATATACAGACAGGAGAGACAGAGAGGAAGATCTTTTGTTCAATGCTTCACTCTCCAAGTGACTGCAATGGCTGGAGATGAGCTGATTGGAAGCTAGGAGCCCCGAAGCTCTTCTGGATATCCCACACAGGTGCAGGGTCCCAAGGCTTTGGGCCGTCCTCGACTGCTTTCTCAGGCCACAAGCAGGGAGCTGGAAGGGAAGCGGGGCTGCCATGATTAGAACCGGCGTCCATATGGGATCCTGGCATGTGCGAGGTGAGAATTTTAGCCACTAGGCCACCATACCGGGCCCTCAAATTTGCTCTTGTACAGGATGCTCTTGTTGTAGGCGGTGGCTTAACCCACAGTACCACAACACCAGCCCCTACCAGAAACTTTGAGAAAAACGTGGGTGTTTGGCAGTCTGAGTAATGTTCAAGAAAACGCCTTGACTAAAGGCTGCTGTAAGAGATTGCTGTGTGCGTGTGTGTGTGTGGGGGGGGGGGTTGTTAAAACATCCACATATTTAACATCAGGCATCCAAATATTTAATATTCCCATACAGTGTAGCCCCAGCAGCCAGGCTGATCCCAACTTCGCTGACTGAAAGTCAGCCAGTGACTGTGTGGGAAGTCTGTGTGTTTTGAATAGAGAACTAACAGGCCGGGTGGGGGTGTAATGGATGAAGTGGAACCTACAAAAGTGAGCATGTTTTAGTTAACTGGTGTGGGGAGAACCTGCAGCGTACAACTTTGTGTGTGTCCGATTCAGCTGAGGCTGGATGTGGCTGTGACTTTCAGGATTGAACAGGAGACCCCAGAGAGAAGGGTGTGATGCTGATGAAGCACCAAGAACAGCCAACCAGGGACACTGCGGCATCTCTGACCTCACACTGCCCCTTAAAAACGATTTTTTGGAAAGGCAGGAGGAGCAGGGAAGTGGGGTGGGGAGAGAGTGTTTCTACGCATTGGTTCGCTCTCAAAATGCTGTAACAGCCAGGGCAGAGCCAGGCGCCAGGACCTCCATCTATGTCTCCCACACGGGTAGCAAGGAACCCAATTATTTGGGTCAGTGTGTGTTGCTTTCCCAAACATGTTCATAGAAAGCTGGATCAGAAGCAAAGCAGCGGAGACTCCAGTGTGGGAAGGAGGCTGGCATTGCAAGTCACAGCGTCACCTGCTGGCTCCTGTACCCCCCTGGGATGAAGGGAAACAGAGACCCGTCAGGTGTAGAGATGAGGCTGTGTGTGCACCCATTGGGTGACACCTTCATCATGTCAGTGGACAGTTAGCGCAGACATGAGAGAGATCTGACCTTGAAGGCATCACACACCTTGTCGCTGGCAAGGCTTCCTTGCCCCAAAGTCACCCAGAGTCAGGTCTACATAGCATCCCTAGGTTTGTCTCTTCTTCCTCTGCGGCTTATTTCCTATCAACCCACAAGGTGACACCTGCCATCATTCCTTCGAGAACAGCTGAGAAAGAGAGGAAGCTACCCTTGGAAAGAAGATTGCTTTGTACTTTATTTACAACAGAATGTAAGAAAAAGTAGGTTATGAACAATAATAAATAACTGGGGGGCAGGAAACACAGAACAGCCATAAAATGACGCAGCAGGATGGCAGATGGAGGATCAACTTGTGTTGGCTTTGCTTGTAATCTACGACACGGTGTGCTCCAGAGCTTGGTCCTTCTGCAGTGGCAGTGCTACATATGGATTAATGTCGCCAGTCAAGATCCCAGCTCAAAATGTAAACACCAGAAATTATACGTGAAGCGACAGGTAAGTGGCATGGGTGCCACATCTACTCCAAGAACCTCTTCTTGGTGACACATAGAAACTACAGAGAGACTTACAGTTCAATAGACGCTTTCGACCTAAAGCAGAAACATCCAGAGGCTTATCCCAAAGCATGTGTTAACAGTTATTAACGGTATTAGAAAAGTTCTTGACATATTCACATTTTCTTATTGCACTAACTCCTAATAAGCTTACACATGTATGTTTCAAATGCAAACGGATTGTTTTGAGGGCAGAACACAGAGGACTGCTATATATTTTCCCACTGGCCTGCTGACCGGTGTGGGTTATGTGTGACCCTTGGGTTTTAGCAAGAACAAATAAAGTCACTGGACAGAATTTATTTTCGAAAGTATGGCTCCTGCTGTCAGACGATCAGCACGTTACTAAGGCTATTGGACAAGTCCTCTCTTATTTGACGATCTGATGATGTTTTACATGCAGCCAATTCGATTCTCATCCTTCTCATAAAAATAAATTCTGAATAGCCTAAGCTAGCCAGTGAGCTGCGATTGTGTTGTCTCTGATCCACAAAGAGATGCTCAAGAAGGCAAAACTATAGAATACACATAAACAATTAGTCCCAGAAAAATGATTTATCAAGACCCCCCAGAATGGATTCTCTTTACTGTTTATTACCGTGTGTCTTGAAGCGAAACCACATGATTGCTTTGGGGGAATTATTGTGTTCTTAAGCTTTTTCTTTCTTTGTCCACAACTGTGCTATTGAATTTCTTTTCACAATTCTAATCATGGCTAATCCATACTTCCAAACCCGTTACAATCATCTGATTCACTCGCCAAGTGAGCGCAACGGCCGATGCTATGCCAATCCGAAGCCAGGAGCCTCTTCCGGGTCTCCCACATGGGTGCAGGGTCCCAAAGCTTTGGGTCGTCCTCGACTGCTTTTCCGGGCTACAGGCAGGGAGCTGGAAGGGAAGCGGGGCTGCCGGGATTAGAACCAGCGCCCATATGGGATCCCGGGCATGCAAGGCAAGGACCTTAACCACTGCGCCACTGCGCCGGGCCCTCCTTCTCCTTTGCTTCTCGTCCTCTTACAGCCCCAAAGTTGGCAAATGAAATGGACTGCAAAGATGATTTCTCACAGAGTTTATGCAATAAAAACACAGACCTCCTGAACCAGGGAAAACAGAGGGAAGCTCATACCGGAAGTCCATCCAAAAGCAATGAAGTTTACGTTCGTTTTTACTGTCTCCACTATTATCAGAGATGAAGCGTGGGTGAATATGCATGTCATAATGATACTTTCATTTGGCTACCAGAGACTTAAAACTGGTGGTGTCAGACCACTATACTATATTTATATATGTATATATATATATATATACACACACACAGATATACAATTTTGGTGAGCAAAGTTGAAGGTATCCACATTGCAGAGGCACTGAATTGAGGATTCTATTTTCCCCCCAAACATGCTTAGCAAATTCAAGTTTCTGCTTTTTTCTTCTAAATTACCATCATGCAGCTTTTTAATTTCCATCCATATAAATATTAATGTCCTATATACACATTCATTACAGTTTTCTATCCCATAATCATAAGTTCATGGATGGAGGAAGTGAAGCTTGAAAACCAAGATTTAGAAAATATTGAATTGATGCCTTGTGATGACTGGGTTAAGTAGCCAAAGCAGCTAAACAAGTTACCTGTGTACCTGCCCCCCTCCATTATTTAATGTACACAAACCACACGTAGACAGAGAAAGTGAACATACATCTGTTGGCTAAGAGACACACCATCATGGGTAGCTTTGAAATGGATGTCTGTGGTATTAAACCAGCTACAGAACAGAGCACACAGCAAAGTAAATCAGAACTTGAATCTTCTAAAAGCACATAGAATTTCCACCTATATGTTGACCTAGACAGCAGAAAATAGCAACAGGATTCATGGGAAAACTAGGTGCCAGATGTGTCCACAAACTGCACCCAACAAATTCATTCTCTGTGAAAACAATGAGTCCACTCCCTCCCTGACTTCAGCTTGCAAATGGTAAGCAAAGAAATTCACCATCTCGGGGTCTCCCAAGAACAGAATTTTGCTTTTAAAGCCAAACGTTCTTATTAAGTACTACCATGTGCAAGAGGGACCATGTAGTCCAAGGGGGTTGATAGAAGATTATTTTCCCACAGGCAAAAAAAGAGTCATGCTTCCATTCCATGCAAAGTAGGTGCCTCACTATGATACATGGCGCCTAACGAGGAAATGCATTGCTCTCCTAAGTTATTTGCAACCACTTTCCTCCGAGTTCGGGGTCCATTTTGATTTTTTTTCATTGTCAACCCTACAGGTAAAGAAATGATCTGGACAGTCTGACTTGTGGCTTAGAATACTTTGGTGCTTTGGCTCCCAGGACCAGCGTCTTGCCTGATGGGGATGGTGAGGAGGGGGTGTGGGGGAAGTGTAAGACGTGACTTGACAGGCTGAGCACTGACCAGGGGGGCAGGCAAGGTCCTCTGGCCGATGGGCTGTGAGTAAAGAACAGCTTCCTCAGTCTCCTTGTGTTGCCTTGGGAGTCCGTTTGGGGAAAGTCCCTTTCCCGAGGTTGGAGGTTCTGGTCAGGAAAGCTGGCTAGGACTCGGGCCTCAAAGGTGCCCACTTCCCTGCTTCTCCCCTTCTCCTGGAGGACGAAAGTCAGCGTGGAGATCCTGTTCGCCCGCCCCTCTCTGTGTTGAAAGGCAGTGAGATGCAAAGGCTTCTTTCTTTAGATGGAAAAATCCTCCCGCCACTTGGATGAATGAGCTTGCCTCCTGTCAACCTTGAGCCTAATCTTGCACTAGCAGTATTTGCAGAAAGAAAATAATAATAATAATAATAATAATAATAATAATAATAATAAGGCCAGTCAGGGAGGCATCCATCCCACTGTCAGCAATTCTGCTCATTCTCACCTCCCACTTGATGGCATTTCCCCATTTCTGCAACATTCTCAATATTTGGATTTCACAGGAGGAACAAGAGATTGACAGTCTTTTTCTAAGGTCTGGTGGTGGGCAGTCCATTCCAGGGAGGTCTGGAGTGTCAAGAGTTGTTACACCAGGATGGGTGGGAGACAAATTTGGTTTATGAGACACACACCAGACATGTTGACGACGTTAGAGCCTGGGTAGCCTACTCTACTGTTGAACTTGTTTGGATGGGCAAACGCTCAATGAATCCTAGTTAGCAAAACTGCAGATTCTGACACTTTGAAAGGATGAGGAGAAGGTGACAAGTCAATGTTTGTGGGTACCTCTGTAGAGAAACAAGATGACTGTCTCTCTGGAGCCTCTAGGATCCTAAATGAAATCGGTCCAAAATAAATCACCCAGGCGGTTGGAAAAGATTTCTGAGGCCCCAAGGGCGCAAGAGGGAAAAGTTATTAAAAGACATCCACAAGAGAAATCTTTAGTAAACTCTGTGTGAAAGGTATAAATGTTATCGTTAATTGCACTTGGAGCCTCTAGAAGGTCAATAATTAAAATTTTCAAAAATTTTAAGAGTGAATTAGGCCCCAAATCCTGAGTCAGACTGATCAAAATAGGAATTTCAATACTATTGGTATTCAAGTATTGGTGACCAGCAGTTCAAAATTTAACAGTTATCTGACGCCTGAGAATATTTTTCGAGAATTTCGGGTTGGACAGGAAGAAACCAACTTCACTATTGGACCACATCTTGGAAACAAAGCGTTGCAAAGTTTTTATTTCTTCACCCTCCAAGTCCATGCCCATCTCCTCAAGTGCCCAAAAGGAGGGCTTCTTCCCTGGCTTAGATCTATCTGCGGCTCCAGAAAAAAAAATTCCTTCCAACCTCTGTCATTCTTGAATCTTCCCCTCCACTGTGATGCTGTGTGGCCCAGTTAGGGAACTGTATTACCCGGAATTACTTAACCACATGCACAGTTAGAGATCAAAGGAACATGTTTAAGTGACAAACCAGTCTCTTCCCATATCAGAAGATTCTTTAAAACAAACAAACCCCAAAATGAAACGATCAAACCCCATGAGCTATTCAGACGCAGTTAATCCGATTTGGGTCGACATGGCTTCACTGAGGAGTGTGCACCAGGCAGAGTCAGCGTGGCTTTTTTCTCAGGGTCTGGAAGTGTCAGAGTTTCTGGGGCTGACTTTTTCCGGGGCCGATCTTTGGGAACCGATAGAAACTCGGGCGCATCTGTGGAGAGAGGGGTGGACGGGGCACTGGATGGAGCGCTGCGGACGGAGGAAGGCAGCAGGGGAATGCTGGAGATAGAAATGGCAGGGGGGAAAACGCCGATTTTCCTGTTGGTAGCTTCCTGAGTGGCTCTCTCGAACTCTCGGACTTCATCCATTGTCATGTCTTCAAAAAGAAACACAGAAAGGAGAGTGAGCTGGTGTTGGACCCTCCGTGACACCTGCTGCTAAAGGCATTAACCCTATCAGGAAGCGGTGCCTCCAGATTACCCACCCCAAAGATGCTACCCTCCTCATTTTTCCCTTTTCTGCAGAAACACCCAGGAAACCCACATTCTTTTTTCAGTGTCCACCCAAGACTTGCTCAAAGCACTCTGCAGTGAGTAGTTGAAGTAATCTGAATAAGGACTTAGAAGGAGAGTACAGAACAGGACCACAGGTGCAGGAACGTGCTGAGTGGGGTGTGGAGTATAGGAGACCGTCTTGTCTTCCACAAAGAGAAAGCAACGAACACAATCACCATCCCTGATATGGCACATCACAAAGTTCACGGAGAGTGGAATGAAAAAATAAGTTCATTTGGGTACAAAAACTTCTCTTTTAAAATTGTATTTGTTGGACCTGGTACGGTGGCGTTTCATGCTGATCCTCTACCTGCAGCGCCGGCATCCCATATGGTGCCGGTTTGTGTCCTGGCTGTTCTGCTACTGATCCACCTCCTGGCTTACAGCCTGGGAAAGCAGCAGAGGATGGTCTAGTGCCTGGGCCCCCTGTACTCACATGGGAGACCCAGAGGAAGCTCCTGGCTCAGCTCCAGCTGTTATGACTATTTGGGGAGTGAGTCAGCAGATGGGAGATCTTTTCTCTCTATAAAATCTGCCTTTCAAATAAAACAAGTGAAAATGGCAGAAAGACAGAACTCCCCATCTTCAAATGCCTGCCATTGCCAGGGTAGGGCCAGGCTGAATTTGGGAGCCAGGAACTCAATCCAGGGCTCCAGGCACTGGCTGCCTCAGGTGTAACACAAGAGCAGGAATTAGAACCGGAACCGGAAGTTGACCCCTAGGTGTTCTGCTATGGGATGCGGGTGTCCCAGGCAGTGCCTTAAACACTTGCCAAATTGTACTTCCTCTTCCCAAATGTGAAATTCATGTGTACAAGACGACTCCAAATAGTTCACAAAAATGTGTAATATGAAAAAAACCCCTATCAATGGATTTTAAAAAACTATTCTTTAAGGCCTTATTTGTTTGTAAAACAGAGTTAGAGAGAGTCTTTCATGTGCTAGTACATTCCCCAAATGGTCACAATGGCCAGGGCTGGGCCAGGCTGAAGCCAGGAGCCAGTTGCCAGGAGAGCCTTCCAGGTCCCCCACCTGGGAACAGTGTTCCAGGCATCTGGTCATCCTCTGTTGCTTTCCCAGGCACATTAGTAGGGAGCTGGATTGGAAGCAGAGTACCTGGAACTCCAACTGGTACCTATACGCAATACTGGTCCTGAACGCAGCAGCCTAACCTGATATGCCACAGCACTGGCCCCTACAAACTTTTTGGACCAAAATAAAGCTACCTTTTAATTCTATTTTCCATTAAGTGTTGAAGTCACCCATGTATCACTGTCAATTTTGGATCATAAACAAGTGTGCCTGTCCAGGCTAAGGAGGTAAGTCATCAGAATGTCTCGATGTGTTCTCTACTTCAGGAATAACTTGGACATTCTGTAGGGACCCTGATTTCCTGACTGTGTACCCAGCCTGACTTAGTTCAGATGCTGTGTTTGATTTGGCTACCAAAAAACATTAAGAAAAAAAAAAAAAAACCCTGCTACTTATCTCAAAGCCAAAGAAAGAAAATCTCTTCTCCAAGAAACTTAGAACGGAGAATGCCAAGAGAGGGTCAGTCGATGAGAGATGCTTTTATTCATGGAAAGAAAGCATTGCTGGGAACTCAGCAAAGTCAGCGATGCCTTCACAGGCACTGTCAGAAACAGTGGATTTGCCAAAGATCCGCGGTGCTTGTATTATACAGAAAGTAAAAACACATTTTGGAAACGTTGGTCTTTTCCCCAAGGCATTTCATGCATCTCCTGACTACTTCTGAGACACAGCAGATAGAAAATATTATCCCTGGGGTTACTTCTTTCTCAAGTTTATTCTTTGATAGTGCTTCTTTCGTTCTCAAAGACTTAATATTTTTTCTCGTTATTTTATTACTCTCAATCTGGTCATCCCTGGGATATTTTGCACTTTGATTTGCTGGCAACAGGAAAATCAGGGGGTTTAGTAGAGTGAGGATTCAACACCTGCTGCCCTTGGCGTTCTTCTGTTTCGGCCACTCAGAGGCTACCTTGTCCTACCTTCTTATCCGCCACCGTGGGCTAAGTAGTCAAATCATCCCCAGCCTTGCAGGCATTTGGGGAGTGACGCAGAGGAGGGAAGTTTGTTCTCTTTCTGGTTCTTTGTGTTACTCTGCTTTTCAAATAGATTTTAGAAAAAATTAAAATACTAAGATTACGAAGGTTCAAGTAGATTAGGTGAATAAAAATAATTTATTTCAAAATAAAGACACAGAAAGAAAAATTTTAGTGAATTAGGATATGACGTGTTTTTGCTATCATAAATCTTCAAAAAAGTTGACTTTCCAAACGAGTGTCTGAATACTTGTGCTACTCCGCACATCCAGCAGGGGGCAGAAATTATCCAGGGACAGAGTTTGACTTATCTGTTTTTGAGTGTCGGTCAAGTTTACTTTCCTGCAGGCTTTGCAAAGACTCAACTGGAGCGACACTGCTATTTCTTCCTCGCTGTGTTGCTGACATCACTTTTGCGCCACTTCAGCCTAACTCATCCCTGCTCAGGTTGATGGTTTACTTCCATCTAGCACCACGCAGCTTTATTTGGGCTGGGTGGCAGCCTCTGGATTTTAACTGGTTCCCATTATGGTAGAGGAGAAGGAAAAGCAAATGACCTCCAATTTCCAAGAAACAAGGGAAATGTCACACACTGTCCAACAACCACTTTGCGTAACATCTTGGGCAGGAGGCAGCTTGCGTTCTGAGTCACGCGAAAAGGGCTGGAGTGAGCGAATACACAGGCATTCCCTGTGGAGGACCACTCACTCAAGGCCGTCAGTTTCTCTGACTCTGAACTACCAGGAGGTATTTCTATGGCTCACCCTCTGCTTGGTGATTTTTACAATAAACAGCGATGGAGGGGGGAGACATTCCGGAAAAGAGTGACAGAAATTCATGAGCAGTTTCCCTGAAGAACATCTCTGACTTTCGCCCAAGGGGAGAGGTTTGGTGGGAGTTGGTCTGAGCGTGCAGAGAGGGGATACTTCAGCTACGTCTCATCCAGACACTTTCAGCAAACGCAATCGTGGCATGTTAAATGAGGAGCAAGAGTTAGGGCCCTTGTGACGTCAAGGGCAGTCCCATGCAGCCGCACAGGGCACACGACAAAGACATGCTCGCAACACTTGACTTTGCAACTTGCCAAAGCACAACCAGGAAGTCTCGCAATGCTAAAGGACCTGCTCACAGCAAGAGCACCTCTCTGTTTCCCATCACCACATTTGTGATTATTCTTTAAAGATGCATTTGTCTGAAAGGCAGAACTAGAGGTGTGTGTATGTGAAGTGTAGAGAGAGATCTTCCATCTGCTGCTTCGCTCCCCAAACAGCTGAAGCCAGGAGTCGGGAGCTTCTTCCACATCTCCCAAGTGGCTGCCAGGGCCCACGGATATGAGCAAACTACACTGTTTTCCCAGGTGTATTGATGGACAGCTGGATTAGAAATGGAGCATCTAGGGCTTGAACTGGGGACCATATTGAATGCCAGCATTGCAGGTGGCAGCCTAACCCATTACACCATAACACACTTATGATTTTTAAGAAGCCTAAATGTATTATTCGGGGGCATGAGCTAAGAGACAGGCAAGTTCAAGGTGGAATATAAAGACAGCACAGCTTCGGTTGATCAGGCATATATATATAATTTATTGATTGATACTATTTTCTTTGTTGGCTCCACCTTTTCCACATTAGTGTGGAATACTGAGGGCTAACTGTATCTAAAATGCTGGCCTTGGGGTGGCCATGGTGGTACAGTGAGGTAGGTGACCACTTAGCATGCCTGAGCTCTGTATCTGTGTGTGTACGTCTCAGCTGCTCCACTTCTGATCCAGTTTCCTCCCGACACCTTCCGGGAGGCAGCAGACGATGGCCCATCAAGTGCCTGGGCTCCTGCCACCCATCTGGGAGACTAGGATGGAGTTTCAGGCTCCAGGTTCTAGCCTGGCACAACTCCAGCGGAGGTAGGCATCTGGGGGAGTGAACCGACAAATACAAGCTCCCTCTCCTCCTGCTTTTCAAATAGATGAAAATAAACACTAAAAAAAAAATATGCTGACCTAAAAGCATAGTTAGTTCTCAATTTCCATATTTGATTTCAGAGAAAAGATTGAGAAGGAATCGGTCTCAATGCCCACGATGTGACTAGATAACCTGGGGCCCTACGAGGTGGCTCTGGTGTGCAGCTGGGTACATTCCTTGCTCCCCACCCTGCATGGCTCGGCCTCTGGGTGCACACACACTGCTCCCCCAGCTCGAGATTACCCTATGCAAAAAAGGAACCGATTGCCTGAGACGGCTGGAAAGAGCCTTGAAAGCATTTTGAAGTGAATGTAGAGAAAGCTAAAGCAGCAGATGAGCAGAAGCCCTCCCTCGATGGAATAAGCGAATGCTACGTTTTTAAAAGTTACCGACATACTGTTCTAGCTTACACATGACATCCCTTTTTTTTTTTTTTTTAAATTCCTCTGCCTTTTATGGCATAGGCTGTTTTACTAGTACCACAAAATGTTTCCACTCTCCATGGTCTCGGTTTTACGACCCAAATTAACCCCCAAGAGAAGCAGCTTCAAGCAACTGAACCGCATGGAAGAGAGAGAAAGAGAGAGTGACATGCCCAACCTGAGCCCCAGTTCAGTGACTTCATCGATGGTTTTTCTGGGAGGTGGGGAAGGGGGTGTTTGCAGCACTTGCAAGATCAGTTCACGTGTGCCTTTTTGGTAAAGGGTGGGCAACATGTTTTAAAAATTCTACATACACTTGTTTGGGCATGGCTGTCTATGTCATCCACAGTGGAGGAATGCTGATTGCAAACTTT